TGTGACCCACTGATTCCTCAAGAGTGTATTACTCAGTTTCCATTTGTTTGTGGGATTTTTGCAGTGTCTTTTATCATTAATTTCTAATTTTATGGCTCTATGATCCAATAACATGCAAGGGATAATTTCAACTCTTTTGCACTTACTTAAATAAGTTCTGTGAGCTAATATATGGTCTGTTTTAGAGAATGATCCATGTACTGCTGAGAAGAATGTGTATTCTGACGTTGTTGGATGGAATACTCTGTGTATGTTTATCAAGTCCGTTTGTTCACAGGTGTGATTCAGTTCTGTTATTTCTTTGCTGATTTTCTGTCTGGCTGATCTGTCCCTTTGTGTCAATGGTGTGTTAAGGTCTCCTGTTATAATTGTGTTACTCATTTCTGTTAATACTTGTTTTATATAACTGGGTGCTATGGAATTTGGTTCATATATATTTAAGATAGTTATTTCTTCCTCTTGAAGTTTTCCCCTAACCAGTATGTAGTGACCTTTCTTATCTCTTCTGATCATTATTGGTTTGCAATTCACATTTTCTGCAAACAGAATAGCTAGTCCCACTTTTTTTTTTTTTGGTTCCTGTTGCGTGAAGTATTGTTTTCCATCTTTTGACTTTCAGTTTGTGAGTATCCTTTTGGATTAGATGCGTTTCTTGTAGACAGCATATGGTTGGATGTTGTTTCTTTATCCATTCGGACAGTCTGTTTCTTTTAATTGGTGCATTGAGACCATTACATTAATGATTGTAACTGTTATATGTTGGTTTATTGTTGACATGGTATCTTTCTCCTGTTGCATCTTTATCTTTCTGTTCTGTTTAATTGTCTGCTTTGCTTAGTGGTTTTTTCCTAAGTGTATCTAAACTGTCTTTCAGTATTCTTTGTAGGGTTGACTTGGTGATCATGAAGTTCTTCAACTGTTCTTTGTCATGGAAGTATCTTATTTCTCCATTGATTTTGAAGGACAGTTTTGCAGGGTACATCAGTCTAGGTTGGAAATCAATTTCCTTTAGTATCTGAAATACTTCACTCCATGTTCTTCTTGACTTTGTTGTTTGTGCTGAGAAGTCTGCTGTGATTCTGACAGGTTTTCCTTTATAGGTGATCTGTCTTTTCTCTCTGATAGCTTTTAATATTCTATTCTTATGTTGGATTTCTGGGATGGTGATTATTATATGTCTGGGTGTAGTTTTATTTTGGTTATGACTATTTCGAGTTCTGTATGCTTCACTGATCCTGATGTCGGTTTCTAATCTCATGTTTGGGAAATTTTCAGCTATTACTTCTCTAAATATCCTCTTGACATCCGTTATGTTGTCCCCTTCTTTTTCATTTATCCCTATCAATCTTATGTTGTTTTTCTTTGCATCATCTTGCAGTCGTTAAATGTTATTTCCTGATTCCTTGTTATTTTTAAAAGATCTTTCCTTTCCTGTTCACTAGCTGCACTCATGTCTTCGAGGTCTGAAATTCTATCTTCACTTTCATTGAGGTGGTTTTTACAACTTTCAATGGAATTTTTGATTTCTTGTATATCTCTTTGCATCTGCTTTATGTATTCTGTTTGTTTGTTATATTGTTCATCCAGGGATTCTATCTTTTTGTTTAGTTCCTCCAGTTTTTTAACTGTGTCTTCTTTAGATATGTTCAGCATCTCCTTCATTTCTTTTATCATTTCTTCTTTTACCTGGGAGATTATTTCTAGTTTGAATTCCTTTAAAGCTTCTCGGAGTTGCTTCTTTATTTCAGTTGCTATTATGTCCAATATTTCAGGTGTGTGGCATATATTTTCTTCTATGTACATAGCTCCTAAGGTTTCTTGGGATGGGCTGGAGGTTTGAGATTGTAATTTGGTCTTTCGTTTTGTCATTTCCCTATATTTTTGTGTTTCAAGTGTTACTCCAAGGCTTCCCCAGGGTCTGTTGGAAATCCTCTTCTATGCCATCAGCTCCTGGTACTCTGACCACCCAGTTCCCCAGATTGAGAGAGGGTCACTGGGGGTAGGGCAGGCTGGCTCAAGACCCGCAGAGCTGGTCCAGTGCAGGAAGCTGTGCAGTTCCCTGTTCGGGCCAAACGAGGATTCCAAACTAGCTGGGCTGGGTGTGGGGGACACTCACCCCAGGCCACCCAGCCTCTGGAACCGATGGGCTTGCTCAGAACTCCAGAGTCCACCAAGCACAACAGGGAGTGGCAAGGCCTTTACAGGCCCGCTCAGGACCTGCTGCGCTGGTCCAGTGCAACAGGAAGTGGCGAGTTCCCTGTCCAGAGCCGAGCAAGGATCCCAAACTAGCTGGGCTCGGGGAATGGTGGGGAACGCTTACCCCAGGCGGCCCAGCCTCTGGAACCGATGGCGCCTGCTTGCTTAGAACTCCAGAGTCCACCAAACACGGCCAGGAGCAGGAAGGCCGTTGCAGGCCCGCTCAGGACCCGCCACACTAGTCCAGTGCAACTGGAAGCTGCCACACATACGATTTTCTAAACTATTTGAATATTCTGACCTAGTACATTTTAGACATATGCTCCTCTGTCCCTGAGCCTTTCCTAAAAACAAGGAACTCTCTTATCATAATTACTAAAATCAGGAAATTGGCATTAAAATGTACTATCATATAAACTACAGACTATTGAGATTTTGTTAGCTGTTGCAGTAATATTCTTTAGAGCAAAAGAAAAGCCCAGATGGTAGGTTGTAATCAGTATTCCTGACTGTTTAGTTTCCTTTAATCTGATTGATTTCTGAGCCAGTTTTTATGCCATGGAACACTGGCGTTTTTGAAGAAGACCAGCTAGTTGATTTGAGGATTTTCTCTGAAATTTGGTTTGTCTGATCCCTTCTCAATTATATTTAGATTATAAGCTTTTGGCAGGAAACCACTAGTGCGATGCTAAGCGCTCACAGGTGCCATGTGCAGTGCATTGTGTCAGGAGGCAGATGGCATCGGTGCTGGCAGTGTTGGCTTTGATCATTGCACCAAGGCAGTGTCTGCCAGGTCTCTCCCCTGTGAAGAAATTAGAAGCGTCTGCCTTTGAGGCTATGTTGGTATCTTTTTATTCATAAAACTTTTTCTTACAAGTTTTAGCGCTCATTGATGATTCCTTGACGAGTCAGTTTATTATTATGATTGTTGGCAAATGGTGATTTCTCATTTCACTCTTCTATATTTGTTGGCTTTCTGCTATCTGGAAGAAGATTCCACTTATTTCACTGCAGGTGCTTAGATTTTTTTACTGGGTAGTTTATATTTCTTTATTATCATTATTTATGTTGATACCAAAATACTTACTTTGATGTTTATGTGGTCTCTGATTTGGCCAATGAGAGCCACTTCTATCTGGCCACAGTATCTCTTTGATTTAGTTCCATCAATCTTTTATACCACTTTATGATGTAAATATGTGCTCTAGGTTCAACTTGTTTTTTCCCTATGGCAGCCCTGAAATTAGCCATTTATTTAAGAAAACTTTGTACCTTAAGAGAGAATAAAATTTAAAAATAAATACTAGGATATTTATTTATATTTATTAATACTGGAGTGCTCATAAGTCCTCTTAGATGAGGGAATTGGCAAATGGATTTATATACTTGTATATACATTCATATACCAATTTACATTTGTACATCTATGTTTCTCTCTATCTTCTTTCTCTTTTTCCTCCTTTTCTTTTCTTTTTTCCTGTTTGTGTGTTTTTTAAGACGGCGTCTCACTGTGTAGTTCAGGCTGACCTTGAACTCACAGCAGTCCTCATGTCTCAGCCTCCTGAATGCTAGGATTATAGGCATGCACCACCACACTCACCTAACAATGGTTTATTTTAAATTGAATTTTAATTCACACATTATTATATAAACACATACATAGTGAGACTTGGGAAACTATCCTCAAGATAAAACATGATGACACAGAATTCACTGAGTTTGGAGACTTGGATTCTGCTATTTACTTGTCTTTGACAGATTCACTGAAGTAACACAAGAAACTTAAAGTCACAGAATTATTTCCTTTGACCTAGTAATCCCAAACAAGGGGGCTGGGGATTTAGCTCAGCAGGCTTAAGTGCCTGAGTGGCAAGTGCAAGGTCATGAGTTCAATTCCTAGCACCAAAATAATAGTAATAATAATCCCAAACAAAATCACAAGATCATTTATTCTTAAAAAGTATTTTAAGGCCAGGGACATAGCTTAGCTGCATAAGTACCTGCCTGGCAAAGTGCAAGGTCTTGAGTTCGATCTTGGGTACAAAAAAAAAAAAGTAATTTAAAAGGAGAAATAAAAGTCTAAATATATGAAGGTGTTAACTGAAGTAATATTTTTATCACAAAAGACTGGAACAATGTAAATGTTTAATAAAGATTATACTTAGGGTAAGCATGAAAAAACCATTCTTTGGCTTTAGAAAATGTAACATGAAAAACATATCTTAAAATCTGTAGGAATATGGGGACACGCTTATGTTGAAGTGAAAGAACAGCAGAGTTTGTATCTGTTACGATGAAAACTGACTTAGACCTGTGTGCATGTGAGCAGGCGAGCAGTGTAGACTGCCTGGAGGTGCAGGATAGAAGATGGAGGAAATGTCAACATGTAGCTTCAGGTCTGATGTGGCTGTATGGTACATATGTAGGGCAATTTTTAGGAACGCTCTAATGGATTGTCTTGGTCACTTGCTTAAACTCTGACATTTTGAAACAGTACAAAAATTCATAATCGGTAATTGAAGAACATATTCATTGCTGCTAGAAGCTTTCCAGGTTGATTAGAGGAAAATCCTAAGTTGACAGTAGTAAACAGGATAATAGTGTGGGCCTGGGTAATTGTAGGAAAATTCCCGGGCTATGTGTTAACTAAAGTGTATAGGAAAGTGGCTCATTAGTACAGCAGAAAAATACCTCTCCCATGAGTAATCTTGTGGGCGAAATATTAGAAACTTGTTTGTACATGTATGCCAACTATATAATGTTATTTTTATAATATGTGCTAACTTTTATTTACTATTTTGAAGAACCAGCTGCAGTTTAATAGGAGTGTTCCTGCACATCCAAGCAACTTGGCAGTTCAGTATTCTTGTCCACATGGAATTAGAATTGAAAAACTGAAGCACTCATATAATGAATCACGTTATAAGGACTCAGATTTTAGAGTTGGCCCTGACCTAAGCAGTTCTGTTCCATTTTCTGTAATATCAGAAGAGAAACTTAGCTATGCGGTTCACCTTGCCAAAAGAGATATAAAACGAAGACAATTTGAAGAACATTATCTCAGAAGCCAGCCCTCAAATTCTCAGAAATGTAGACATACCAAGCATAAAATATCTGACCACGGGACTGAACGGAAAGACCCAAAGAATCAAGAAATCCACCGGTGCAGCCACCAGCCGTCTGAAGTAGGACTTTCCAGCTCAGGTGCCAAAGTGTACGTGTACACGTCTCATCATGGACAGTCAGCTCTTACCATGCCAAATTCGCCACCTACTCATGACCCAGGACCACATCCACAGCCCAAGATAGGTGACCACAAAAGTTCATGTGAGCAGAAAAGCCTATTAGAAGTTCAGCGACTCCAGAAAGAATTGAGCAGTTGTATCCAAAAAATTGAAGAGGTAACTAAAAAAGGTGAGAAAAATTCGATGCTTCCTTTGATAAGATGCCATGATAGTTCCAAGGCATTTATTGGGCCTGCCCACCCCTACCAGTTTCATTGCATTCTCCTGTGTGTTGGTTCCTTAGAACATGAGTGTGTTCATGGTGAAATGGCTGAGTTTAGAGTTTTTCTCTGAATAGTTTACCCTATTTGATGCTCCCCATCTCTCACACTCCTACTACAGGCTTCATAGGTGGAGCGGCTGAGGGCACAGCCTACCAGTTACAGAGTTCCTGCTGTGTGACCCTCACATGAGTGCAGACGGTCCTGTAGTTCCCTTGTTTAGCCAGAAGTCCTTCCGGCAAAATCATTTTTAATTTCCATTAAAACAGTGTTATATGAATGGATAGATATATGTATTCATAGACAGACAGACAGGCAAATAGATAAAACCAGTTCCTACCTGGGAAGAGTTTAGATGCGAACATACCAGTGACTAGGGAAATTGCAGCTATTTGCATAAGATGTCTGACCACGGGTAGAAATAAGAGTGCCATCATCATCTTCTATTCCCTGAATTCTTCAGTGGTCTCAGTGCTTTTGTGTTCACATGGGGGGTAGAGGACTGATTCTGCTTAGGTAATTTGGGGTTAGTGTAGCTAATAGGACTGCACGCTCAGCTTTCAGACCGCAAAGAATAAAGATTTGAGTTTCAAGACAAATCATTGTATTTGGATAGTATATACTGTCCCATGATATTTTGCACTTTAAATTTAAGCAATATGTGCATATGTATGTTATATGTGCATATTATATAAAGAATTTAAGTACCTTAAAATATCTGTTGATTGAGACAAGATAAAACTATGTATCTGAGGATGCGGTATAGGAAGAATAAGGAAAAGAAAAAGAATTAATAGGAATAGATTACAGATTTATTTCTGAGTTTCCTGGGAGTCAACTACAGAGAGAACTGTGGTCAGAATTCACAAAACCGAACATCAAAAAGACAGTTGTATAACAATGACAGCTTCCAAATACTGCGGCCAGAAAAGGGTTTCTCTTCCTAGATCTTCTGTGGTAGTGTGTTGGTGTAATGTCACAAACAAAACAGTCCATAGAAAATACCACAAATGCTGTGCAACTTGTTTCTTACCACAGTTCTCAATGTCAGTCCAGGGCACGACCCTACCACATACTGTAGGTTAGAATCCTTGCTCCGGGGGACCAAAGCCACAAGGCTTTCTATTTGTGATCAGATCTAACCCAGGGACTTTTGAGAGAGCTTCTCAGACTTGCTGTGGGAAGGATTGAGTTGGTTTATTTATTTGAAATTTCAGTCAGTCATGAAGCAAAACTTTGTAAACTATAATAAAAATGTCACACCATGGCAGATTGCTGTAAAGACATTAAATGCGTATTTCCAATTTTTGCACTTCGTTGTGGGCCAGTAATAGTTGCAGTAGTCCTAGCTACAGACCACCCTTTCCTTAGCCCTGAAATGCCCATTCAGACTTCCTAAGGGCTGCTCGTAGATCTATGGATGGTTGCAATAGAAACACCTGCAAGTCTAACACATAAATCCCCTGAGCCAGTTCCTATTTATATCCATATACGAAGCTACATTTTCTTCCTTCTGTGCAGCCCAAGCAACAGCTAGAATTAATTTGGTTTATAGGCTTCAATGAGACTGTATGTCCTACCTCTGACTTCAAATATTCAAATATTTTTTCGATGCAGACTTATTCTTGGTTGACCTTTTCTTTTTCTTTTTTCTTTTTGGTATTGGTGATAGATAAGCAGGCCAGATGCTCTACCAGTGAGGTATATCTCTAGCCCCTTTAACTTTTTAATGAGTAAATAATACAAGTTGAACTCATAAAATGCACTTGTACTAATAGAATGTTGCTTTTATCTGATTTGTGTTGGAGTTTTACAAAAGAATTTATTTATAGGGGCTGGGGATTTAGCTCAGCGGCATAAGCGCCTGCCTTGCAAGCAGGCAATCGTGAGTTCAATCCCTAGTACCGATAAAAACAAAAAAAAGACAAAAAAAAAAAGAATTTATTTATATAAACATTTGAATATCACCAACTGAAAGGAATAGATAGACAAGCAATCAGGAAATCTTCAACGAAGAATTTCTTTGAAGCACTCTTTTAAACATGTGGAGCACTAGTGTGTACAGGGTATGTTTCCTGATAACTACACTGAGACTGCAGACTCCAGGTAATTTTAGCACTGAGTATAGTAGGGTATTAAAGTAAGCATTTCTCTTCTGGAATCAAAATAGGAAAGTAATAATAATCTTGCTAAACATAAAAATAAAAAATCCCACGGTTCATAAACACTTCTGTCTAGAAACAATTTGGTTTGCAAACAAAAGCATTTGGCAAAATTTTGCTTCCACTGTCAAACGTCATGTCAGGTGACAAACACAGCCATGGCCGTCTTCCCACACACACACAAGTGCAGCCGTCTTCCACAGAATCGGAAACACGTTAAGTCATGAACTGAGGTGTCAGTGCAGTCTAGAAAAGAGTGCTAATGGCACTGAGTGCTTCACAGTGGAGTTGGTGGAGAGCTCTGCCTGCCTGTCTGAGGTGCGTGCGGTATGTCTCAGCCCTTCCACTTCTGGGTTCGTACCCAGCTGCACCTGCTCATCCCTGCTTTCTTCCCTGGTGTGAACTGAAATGTTCTGTTACACCAGCCCAGTGTTTTGCCTGAATAAAACTAGAGGTCTTCAACTTGACTGCCCTTTAGGTAACCGAAGTTTTTGTGTCTTTGGATGGTTTGTAATTTGCTTTTGGGGAAAAATGTTTTCAGATAGACTAGAAGAAGCTTTGGATCCAGAGGAAGAGCAGCGGGTCCGTGTCAGGAGACAGGAGCAGACTGTTCGCTGTGCCCGGATGCTTTATGTCCTCCAGCAACAGGTGTGGAAGCCCAGGGAGACGTGGGACAGTTAGCTTGTGTGCTGCTTTCTTAGGGAATTTCAGCCTCTGTTTACTTCGAAAGATTTGCCCCGAACTGCCCTAAATAAACTAATCAACATCTTTTTTTTTTTTTTTTTGTATTGGAGACAAACCACCTCAAGCTTGCCTGGCAGGTGCTTATGCCACTGAGGTAAATCCCCAGCCCTCTAACTGATTTTTGAGATTAAATTTCCTGAGCCCAGGAACAAGCAGTTTTCACTGTTTTTGTCATCTGCCGTTACGTTTGTGTTTTTGGTGGAAAGGGCTAACCTCCTTCTTAAACAATCATTTGACTCTTTGAGATAACAGACTCTTAAAAATCTAGTAGAAATTGTATTTCTTTCCCTTTCAAAAACATGCATGTTTTGTACATTGTACAATACATAACGTGTGTATGAAGTCTGGTTGATCAGTTACACTGAAACATTCAGTTCCCAGGTACAAACCCTGGTCTTTGTTAGTTTGCCTTCTGTTCATAAGGTTATTCCTAGACACCTAGTAGATAGCATGATTTGATTACTCCTTATTAACGGTACCGAATGAAGACTGGCTGGGCACACTGCTGCGTGCCTGTATCTCATCACTCAGAGGCGCTAAAGCAGGGAGTCTGAAAGTTTAGCCTGTGCAAAGTAACATTTTAGCAAGACCCCATCCCAACAAATATAAATAAATAAGACATAAGAAAAAAGAAAGGACTAGAGATTGTAACACATCTGAAGGTCCTAAAACAAACAAACCAAAAGTTTACAAAGAGCGATGACTGTGTTAAGTGTCTTTCAGGACATATATAGTGGTTGGTAAATAAGCATTTTCATTGTTTACATTGTAGATTTTTAAAGGAAAAGTTTGTTTCAACTTTATTGACTTATTTGTTAACAAGCTTTTAACACATCTCTGGTCACTGAAGTCATGTTATTTCATTGGTTGAATCAAAAACTACTTTTTCATTTGAAAGAAAAAGGTGCTTGAGTTAGATTTTGTTCTGTGTTCTCGTTTGAATTTGTTTTGGTCCTTCTTCTACACTTCTGCTATAGAGATTATTCTAAAGTGCGAAACATGCTGTGTCAGATCACTGCTTAAAAAACTGGAGTTCCTTTCTGTAACTTGAAAGCTCAATTCTTTAGCATGGCGTGGAGGACAGAATGATCTGGCCCCTGCCTTTCCAGAGTTACCTCCACCATCACTCCTTCATGTTAAGTTCTTATTTGGGGACCAAAGGATAGAAGTCAGACACTGCTCTATTTGCCATCTTGAATTGGGCCTTTTCTCATTTCAAATGACTTGAATTAATAATAGTTATATTTGGTCAAGGCCAATATTATACCAAAAGAAAAAAAAGACCGATGGGAAGGTGTGAACTTTTCATTCTTCTTCTTTGTAAAACAGGTAAAAGAAATCCAGGAAGAATTGGATAAATTGAGTCCAAATAAAATTAAACACACCAAGAAGGTATGATGTAATTAAACTGTGATTAATACCTATTCATAAAATGTGTTTTCATGTTTCATTAGTACCGGATATGGGTTCTCATTATTTCTGCTAACAGAAGAAACCTGTTAGGAGTAAGCACCTTAAATATTTTAAATATGGAGTTGCTTTCTAAGAAATGATTTTTGAAAATAGATTCCTACTGCTGTTATGTTTACCAGCAGGAAAAAACTTCTGGGCATGGTGCCACATGTCTGTAATCCAGCCCTTGGGAGAGACTGAGGCAGGAGGATCTCTGATTCAAGGCCAGTTGGAGCTCCATAGTGAGTTCAAGGCCAGCCTGAACTTTGTAGTGGGACCTTATCTGAAACAATGGAACAGGCTTAATTTATTTTGAAACTTTAAAGGTGAAGCTTTACTAGTCCCTACACTATGAAAAAGTTTGCACAGTGGAAAGCACGTCATGTAGAAGGTGTGTAATAAATGTTGAAGGTCGGGTTAATGCTGGAAAGGTCTGAATGTTGACATAACTTCTCATGTCTTGTTTATTTCTAGTCATGGGCAATGTCTAGGCTGGCGACTGCCCATCGAGGAGCCATTCGGGCCTTGCAGATGTTTGTCACTCAGTTTACTGACCGAGGGGAGCACCCAATTCCTGCTCGGTGTAGGGAACTGGGCAGCCTTATTCGTCAGCTTTCACTTTGCTCTGCCAAGCTGGATGCCAATCCTTCCATCCCTGATGTGGTTATAGATATCCTGCAACAAATTGAGGTATGAAATTAACTCTTAATTTTTTGTGAAAGTGTGTTGTTTTTAAGCAGAGAAATAATGCTCGTGGTCATTAGTTTTGTTAGGATTGATGGAGAAGAAAAGGCCTTGTAAACTAAAGCTTCCCAATCTGGACTATACAGTTGTATTTCACTGTGTAGAGAATTGTTCATCTCAAGAGAACTTTTAACCCACAATGAGTATATTCACTATATATTGCAGACTTGTAAAACACTGTAAATTTATAAAACTTATAAAAACACAACTTTTAACAAGATCCTTTTCTTATCTCCAAAAAATTGAAGAAGTAGGCTTTTCAACAGACTCAAACCCAACAAACCAGCTACACCTGGAAGATAGCTCAGAGAAGTAGACATTGCCTAAGGGTTCTAAATACCAGCAGTAAAGCACCCCACCATAGGCAGTTTACAAGCATCGTCCCAGGAATTAAACTAAAAAAATAAAAGAAAATGAAGAGATGCTTAAGCAAGATACTACCCCAGATATCTAGTTTACCGAAGGCAAGCCCAGGGATCAGTGAGGTGGGACAGTCTGAAAGCCTTGCACCTGGCCTCTCTGAAGTAGTAGCAACAGAGCAATTGAATGAGGCTCTGGAAAAAATGAAATCAAGAGTAATTTCTCAGATAACTGCAGATATGGTGACCACAACAAAGACCATGCTTAGTCACACTAGAGCAGATGCAGACAACAAAATAGATAAGCTTAAGAAAATTTTGGAAGCCATGAATGCTCAGCATAGGAAAGGCATGGAATCTATGAGGCAGATGTCCAGGAGAATAAAAATTCCACTGGAAATATTTGCATCAGATTAAGCCAGTGTGAGGATAGGACCTCAGATACAGAAGACAGGCAAATGACAAGGGACCATGAGAAATCAGTCTAGCAACCGCTAGGTGAGGCAGAGAAGAATAACTTAAGATTGATTGGCGTCAATGAAAAGGCATACAAATAGTGTATGAAAAACTTCCACATACCATGGCAGAAAACCCTCTGTGGTAGAGACAAAGAATTTGACTTACAGATAACTGAGGCATATAGCATTTCATTAGCCAAGGTCAAACAAAAGCAAAAAGCTACAGCCAGGCATATCAGTCAAGAGTCCAGAAATGCAATACAAGAATAGAATCTTTTTTCTAAATTTATTTTTTATTTATTATAATTTTTTAAAGACTAGAATCTTAAAAACTCTTAGGATAAAGAACAAATTACCTCTAAAGGAAAACCCATCAGAATCACACTGACTTCTCAGCACAAACCCTTAAGTCAATGAGCACTTGAAGTATTTCATGTTCTAAAGGAAAATAACCTTTAACCCAGATTAATGTACCCTGAATAACTATCCTTTAAAACTGATGGAGAAATGAGATACTTCCGTGACAAAGAGTTATCTGACATTCAGAATAACCACCAAACCCAGCACTCTAAAATAGTTTGAAGAACATTCTAGAAAGAGAGAACAAGGGCTATGACTCTGAGAATCCCAACAGAAGGAATCCACCAGGCAAGGCAAACAATTAAATGGAAGTGGGGAAAAAAGAGGGGGAGCCAACAACAGGAAAACAACATGACTAGGATAAGTCAATACAGATCAGTTATAACTAATGTCAGTCGGACATTAGTGTTAATGGTTCCAGTTCAATCAAAAGACACAACCTGGCAGAATGGAGCAAGAAGCAAGAGCCAACAGCATGCTGCATACTAGAAACATATTTAATTCAAAAAGAAATTCATAGAGTGAAAGTCAGAGGGTTGAAAACAATTCTCCTTATAATAGGAGGCCAGAAAAAAGCAGGAGGAGCTATTCTGTTTCAAGCCAAGACTGATTAAAAGAGTTAAAGAAGGTTACTACAACAACTTAAGGGAACAACTTAAGAAATAACAATCTTAAATATAATATGCAATAAATACTAGTGCACATAAAATACATTCTAATGGACGTGAAAAATCAAGTAAGCACTAATGCAATTGTACTGGGGGATATCAATAGCCTACTTTCACTAAAATACGGATCAGCTAGACAAATCAACAGTGAAACATTAGAACTAAATTAGACTTTTGAACAAATGGACCTAGTAGATATCTACAGACTGTTCCACTTCACGACATCAAAACATATCTTCTCGTCAGCTGGACATGGGACAGTCTCCATAATAGACCACATACTCGCTTATAGAACATGCTTAAGTAAATGCAAAGGACCTTAAATTATCCTATGCGTATTATCAGACCATAGTACCAAGAAATTGGAAATCAGTGGCAAACCAGAAGAACTACATAAACACGTGAAAATTAAATAGCACCCTCCTGAACAACCAAGGTTACAGATGAAATTAAGAAATTAGATAGTTTTTGCAATTGAATGATAATGACAATACAACATACTGTAACTTATGGGACACAGTGAAGGCAACCCTAAAAGGGGAATTAGTAGCAGTAAATACCCGTATCAGGAAAACAGAGCAAGATCCATCAAATCAAATCAAATCCAAAACAAATCAGATCCATCAACTAAACAGAAATGTTTCATTTCTCAACTATGCCATCATTCTTTACAGCTGAGTAGCACTTCATTGTATAAAAGTGCCACATCTTTTTTATCCATTCTTTAGTTGATGGACACTTAGGTTGTTTCCAAGATCTGGCTATTACAAATTGTGCTGCTGTAAACATGGGTGCACATATATCACTGTGGTATGATGCTTTCAGTTCTGGGAATATGCCTAGAAGTGGAATAGTTGGAACAAATGGGACTTCGATTCCCAGCTTTTTGAGTAATCTCCAGACTGGCCTCCACAGTGGCTGCACCAGTCTACACTCCCACCAACAGTGCAGGGGAGTTCCTTTTTCCCCACAGCCTCTCCAGCATTTGCTGTTGGTAGTTTTCTTGATCCTGGCCATTCTTTCAGGAGTGAGATGGAATCTCAGTGTGGTTTTAATTTGCATTTCTCTAATGACCCATGTTGCTGAACATTTTTTCATGTATTTATTTGCCATTTGTATTTCTTTATCTGAGAATTGTGTATTCATCTCAGCTGCCCATTTTTGGAGTGGGTATTTGAATTTTGGGGTCTGATTATTTAAGACGAGATCCCAGTTATTGATTCTGGAAAGTATTTCCCATGCAGTTTGATTCCTGTTCATGAATTCTCTGCCTACTCCTGTGTCTTCAAGATTTCTGCCTACTTTGTTTTCTAACAGATAGTGTTTCAGTTTTAATATTTAGATCTTTGATCCATTTTGACTTTGTTGCATGGTGATAGGCATGGGTCTAGTTTTGGTTTCTGACATTTGGAAAGCCAGTTTTTTCCAGCACCACTTATCAAAGAGGCTGTCTTTCTTCCAGTGAATGTGTTTGGCCCCTTTATCAAAGATAAGGCGGCTGAGTGTGTTTGTAGCTGTAGTTGTATCTTCTAATCTATTCCACTGATCTTCAGGTCTGTTTTTATTCCAGGACCATGCTGATTTTATTACAATAGCTTTGTAATATAACTTCAAGTCAGGGATTGTGATGCCTCCTGCCTTGCCTTTATTGCTCAGAATTGCCTTTATTATTCTAGATCTCTTCTGGTTCCAGATGAATTTTAGAAATGATTTCTCTAGATCTGTGAGGTATGCTAATGGTATTTTGATTAGAATTGCATTAAATCTGTGTAACAATTTTGGGAGAATGGCCATTTTCACAATATTTGTTCTTCCTATCCATGAACAAGGAATGTCTTTCCATTTTCTGAGATCCTGTTCAATTTTGGTTTTTTGGATGCTAATGTGGAGGGTGTGGCTTCTCTGATTTCTCTCTCAGTGAGATTGTTGCTTGTATTGATTTTTGAGTGTTGACTTTGTATCCAGCTGCATTGTTGAATTTAGTTATTATACCTAGGAGTCTTTCAGTGGAGTTTTGGGGGTCATGTAGAGTATCGTGTCATCTGCAAATAATGATAATTTAACTTCTTTTTCTATCCTTAGTCTTTTTATTTCTTTCTTTTGTTTAATAGCTCTGTCTAGAATTTGTAGCACTGTATTGAATAGGAGTGGTGATAATGGACATCCTTGTCTTGTTCCTGATTTTAGAGTAAAGGCTTTCAGTTTTTGGCCATTTAATATGATGCTGGCTGTTGGTTTGTCATAGAAGGCTTTTATCATACTGAGGTAAAGACCATCTATTCAAATTTTCTGTAGGGTTCTTATCATGAATGAGTATTGGACCGAATCAGAAGCTTTTTCTGCATCCATAGAAATGATCGTGTGATTCTTATTTTTGGCTCTATTGATATGGTGGATTACATTTATTGATTTGCATATGTTGAACCATCCCAAATTCCTGGGATAAATCCCATTTGGTTGTGGTATATAATTGTCTTGATGATTTGCTGCATTCTGTTTGTCAGTATTTTATGAGAAATTTTACATATATGTTCATTAGGGAGATTGGCCTGTAGTTCTCTTTTTTGATCAGTCCTTCTCTGGTTTTGGTATCAGTCTAATATTTGTTTCCAGTAATGAGTTAGGGAGAATTGCTTCTCTTTCAATTTCATTGAAGAGTTTGAGGAGTGTCGGCATTATGTCTTCTTTGAGTTTCCTGTAGAATTCCGCAGTGAATCATATCTGGACCTGGGCTCTTCTTTGCTTTTAAGGATTTAATTACATTTTCAATTTCATTAATAGAAATTTGGTTATTCGGGGCTGGGGATTTAGCTCAGCAGCATAAGCACCTGCCTTGCAAGCGCGTGGTCGTGAGTTCGATCCCTGGTACCAAATAAAAATTAAAAAAAAAAAAGAAATTGGGTTATTCAGCAGTTTTGCATCATCTTGACCTAGCTTTGATAATTCATGTTTCTAGGAATCTGTCAATGTCTTCTTTGTTATCAAACCTATGAGAGTAGAGCTTTCTGAAGTAGGTATTGATGATCTTCTGTATTTTCACATGGTCTATAATGATTTCGCCCTTTTCATTCCTTACTGCATGAATTTGAATTTTTCTTCCCTTTTTAAAATATGGTTGGCTAGGGGCCTATCAATTTTATTTGTTCTCTCAAAGAACCCACTCTTTGATTCATTGATTCTTTGTACTGTTTTCTTAGTCTCTATTGCATTGATTTCTACTCTGACCTTTATAATTTTGGCCCTTCTTTTCACTTTGGGCTTGACTTGCTCTTCTTTTTCTACATGTTTGAGGTGTGTAGCATCAGGTTGTTTATTTGTGTTTGTTCTGTTTTCCTGATGTGGGAATTCACCACAATAAATTTTCCTCTGAGGACCACTTTCATTGCATCTGTAGAAACAGGTTCCATTAAGCTGTATTTGTATTTTATTTGCTTGTAGATATTGTTTAATTTCTTTTTTAATTTCCTCTGTGACCCACTGATTGCTCAGGAGTGTGTTACTGAATTTCCCTGTGTTTGTGGAGTTTTTGCAGTTTCTTTTGTAATTTCTAGTTTCATGGCGCTATGATCCAATAACATGCATGGGATAATTTCAATGCTTTTGAATTAGTTAAGTGTGTTCTGTGGGCTAGTTTATGGTCTGTTTTAGAGAATGTCCCATGTGCTGCTGAGAAGAATGTATATTTTGAAGTTGTTGAGTGGAACACTCTGTACATGTCCACTATGTCCATTTGCTCTCAGGTGTGATTCAGTTCTTTCTTTGCTGATTTTCTATCTGGTTGATCTGTCCCTTTGTGCCAATGGCATGTTAAGGTCTCCTGCTATAATTGTGTTATTACTTATTTGATTTTTCATTACTTATCTCTTTGGGTCATTCTTGGTTTGAAGTTCACATTGTTTGCAAACAGAATAGCTGCCCTTTTTAAAAAAAATTTTTTTTATTCCTGTTGCTTGTAGTATTGTTTTCCATACTTTGCCTTTCAGCCTGAGTTTCCTTTTCGGTTAGATAGGTTTCTTGTATATAGCATATGGTTGGATATTGTTTTTAATCCACTCTGCCAGTCTGTTTCTTTTAATGGTGAATTGAAGCCATTTACATTAATGGTTATAACTGATATATATTGGTTTACTTTTGACGTGTTATCTTTCTGTTGTTGATTCTTTTACCTTTCCCCTCTGTTTAATTGTTTGCCTTGTTTAGCGGTTTTTTCCTGTGTCTATCTAGAATGTCTTTGCAGAATTGATTTGGTGGTAGATGAAGTTCTTCAGCTGTTCTTTGTCATGGCAGTATCTTATTTTTCCATCGTTTTGAAGGATGGTTTTGCAGGGTACATCAGTCTGGGTTGGAAGTCGTTTTTCTGTAGGATCTGAAATACTTCACTCCATGCTCTTCTTGATTTCATGGTGTTGGGAAGTCTGCTGGAATTCTGATAGGTTTCCTTTGTAGGTGATCTGTCTCTTCTCTCTAACAGCCTTTAATATTCTGTTGGATTTCTGGGATGTTGACTATTATATGTCTAGGTGTAGTTTTATTTTGGTTCTGGCTATTCGGAGTTGTGTATGCTTTACGTATCTATATCTTAGTTTTCTCTCTCTGTCTCTGTCTCTGTCTCTGTCTCTGTCTGTCTCTCTCTCTCTCTCTCTCTCTCTCTCTCTCTCTCTCTCTCTCTCTCATACCGGGGATTGAATTCATAACCTCGCACTGCCAGGCAGGTGCTTATGCCACTGAGCTAAATCCCTAGTCCTCAGTTTTTTTTTTTTTTTCTTTGCATCATCTTGCAGCTGTTAAATTATTTCCTGATTCCTGGTTATTTTTAAAAGATCTTTCCTTTCCTGTTCACTAGCTACAATCTTGTCTTTGAGCTCTGAAAGTCTATCTTCACTTTCATTGAGGTGGTTTTGCCAACTTTTGATGGAATTTTTGATTTCCTGTATTTGTCTTTGAATCTGTTTCGTGCATTCTGTTTATTTCTTATATTGTTCATTCAAGATTTCCATCTTTTTTGCATTGTTCCTCTAATTTTTTAACTATGATTTCTTTTGATGTGTTCAGCATTTCTTTCAGTACATTTATCATTTCTTCTTTTACCTGGGAGATTATTTCTGATCTGAGTTCTTTTATAGCTTCCTGGAGTTGTTTCTTTACTTCAGTTGCTATCATTTCAGGAGTTTCAGGTGTGTGGCTTACAGTTTCTTCTATATCCATGTCTTGTAAGCTTGCTTGGGATGGGCTGGAGGTTTAAGATTCCATTTTGTTCTTTCATTTTGTCGTTTTCCTATATTCCCAGGTGGCTCCAGCCACTCGGAGTCACTAGGTGGGGTCAAAATAGGTCCAGAGGGACATTTCTGTGGGTCCTTAGGTGGTGGGTGACACTGGGTGGGCCCTGTCAGTCCCTGAGTGACAAATCAAGGCTTCCCCAAGGGGTGGAAATCACTGCGTGCACTTTTGTCTTGCCAGGCAGAGCACGCACCTTGGATTTCTTTGAAAGTAATCATGTTCATTACTCTTTGCTGTTTTTAGTAAGCTAAATATGTAAAGGAACTTGCAGAAATTATTTTATTAGTTAATTAGATGTCCTTATAATAAACATTGAAAATTAACATTTTGTTAGCCATTTGAGGTCGCTGTTTCATAACACATTTCTCGAGTCCTTATTTCTTCTGTTTTGTAACTAAAAATCATACTTTTATATGATAAACTAATAGATTGTTTCATGTCAGGCTTTGGAATCTCTTCTGGAAAAGAAACTGTCACCAAAAAAGGTAAAGAAATGTTTCAGTGAAATTCAGAGCCAGTTTCCTGTTGGCAGTCAAAAGGCAATAGAAAAATGGCCAAGGACATTCCCAAAGAGCGAGAGGCCTGTCTTAGTAGCAAAGGAGACATTTCCACGGGAAGCACATCGACCTTCAGTGGCAAGGAAGCTTCTGGTTGGTATGTATCTCTCAGTGTTTATTGTGAGATGTTTTAGTCTTTGAAATTATCTGGGCTAATCAAGAAATGGATAAAAAAATGTGGTCTTTTTATACAGTGGAGTATTACTCAGCCATAAAGAAGTATAAACTGGAGACTTTATAGGGAAATCAATGCAACTTAAGACCATACTCATCAGTGAAATAAATCAAACACACATATGCAAACATCATATTGTCTCCCTAGTATAAGAAGCTGGAAGAGTAAATAAGATCCAGAATATACAATAATAATGTAAAATGGGAAGAAACTTCACAAGGAAAGAGAAACTGGGATGGGGAAATGGAGAAAAGAAGGAAGGAAAAACAAAAATATATATATATATATGTATCATATTACATGTAATAGTTAAGATAGTTACACTAATTTTTCTTAGTTCATTGAATAGAACAGTTTGTGCTAATATTGTTTGGACAGTTAAATGCTGATATCTTGTACTCTGGGTAATTAATTTAAAGATAACAATATGCAATGTATTAACCATTGTTACCCTCCTACTATCTTGTTTTGAGTTTTTTTCTCTTTAAAAAGAATCTTGAAAGTAATGTAAATGTCTATCACTGTTGAATGTGGTATATCCACAAAGCGGATACTGCTATGCTATAACTCACAATAGCAAAGGTTACACTTTTGGTACACACGATGACATAGATGAATCTCAGAATAGTTGTGTTTGGTGAAATAAACAAAGCCAAAAAGATATCTATCTGGCCTGTACAGTTATTCCACTGAGAGGAAACCAGGAATTAGATCCTAGGCCATAGAGGCTGCATTGTAACGAGGAGCAGTTAGATCAAACAAGATGCTTCCTTAGGCTGGAGCAGAGTATTCTGTAGAGAAATGCGAATAAAGGGAAGTTCTTGTATCACAGCATTGAGTTTATTCTGTGCATACATACATATACACGTGTGTGTGCATGTGCATGCACATGTTGGAATGCAGGTGAGGGGTAGGAGATCAAGCCCAGGACCCACGCATGCTGGGGAAGTCATCTTCCACTAAACAGTTCCCCTTATCCTAAGTTACTGTATTTTAATCATAAATATGCAGCACATACATACATTTGATATATATGTACTTTTCTCATGTAAGTAGTAAATCCATATTATTATAAAAGGTGGAATTGCTAGGTCATGGATGATGTATTTAAACAAATACGACCTGTTTACACCTTAAAAAGTGGACGTACGATTGTGTTTTAACTTAGTAACGATAGTATATAATTTTTCATATTCTCCTTACGTACTTCATATGATAAAATTTAAAAGGTTTTCCAGTCTCTTGAGAGAAATGGTATCTTTTTTTTGTCTTTTTCATTTTTATCGGTACCAGGGATCGAACTCACGACTGCTTGCTTGCAAGTCAGGCGCTTATGCCGCTGAGCTAAATCCCCAGCCCCTAGAAATGGTACCTTACTGTCTATTTTGAGTTTCTGGATTCCTAATGAGGGTTATGTCTTTCATTCCTTCTTTAGCCATGTTTATTTCAGCTTTTGTGATTTGCCTGCTTGTACCCTTTATCTTCTGTTGGATTTTACATTTTTTGCCTATGGATGTGTAGAAGTTCTATATACTCTGGACCTTATCTTTTTTTGTTTGCTTGTTTTTGTTTGGTTTACATATATTACAGATATTTTCTCCTTCTTAGTTTATTTTTGAAATGTATGATTTTTTTTCTGCTACAGAAAATGTTAATATTATAGGCAAAGTCATTAATCTTTTTTACTAGTTAAATATTTGATGATTCACTTTGTTCTTTTTTAAAATTTTACTGAGGGTCATTGCTCATCTTTCTGAGGGTTTAGAATGAGTTGTTAAGCTCCGTGAAAGATCCTGTGGCGTTCTGACTGGTGTTATGTTGAGCTGGTAGAGTAACTGGGGAAGTGATATCTTCACTCACGGTCTTCCTGTGCATTTCCTCACGCACTCGTTCTGTCCTTTCAGTTCAGCTTTATAGTTTTCGACTGGTGGTATTGCTATTATGGTCTCTCTTTATTATGAAATTATTGCTCAAAGGAGCATTATCTTAAAATCTTTTATGATACTATTTTTGTTGGTTCTGAGGTACACAGTTGAAGATTTTTGAAACTGGAATTCGTTCTAAACCAGTGACACCTCAGGGTAACCCTAACATTTTACTTCTTTTCGTGTGTGGAATGGGGATTGGTCCCGGGGGCCTTGCCGTGCTAGGCAGCCACTCTACTACTGAGCTCCACCTCTAGGCTAGTCTTCAGTGTTTTAAAACCCTGTAAAATCGCCACTGTTGAGGTAGCATTGTTGGACAAGAGAAGAGTAATAAGGGGAAGGAGCTGTAGAGGATGGTAATAGAGGGGTTGGGTATGATCAAAGCATATCATGTGTTTATGAAAATACCACATTTAGCTGGGCGTGGTGGCTCAAGCCTGTAATCCCAACACTCGGGAGGCTGAGGCAGGAGGAATATTGCGAGTTCAGGACCAGCCTGGGCTACAAAGTGAGCTCAGGGTCACCTGAACTGTATAGCGAGACCCTGACTCAAAAAGACAATGAAAGACAGAAAGAAAGAAAGAAAGAAAGACAGAAAGAAAGAAAGAACCTCATTTAAATCCAATTTTTGTAAAATTAATATGTAGTAATAAAATACATTAAAAATAGAAAACAGTTACATAATGACGTTTTATAAATGATATTTTAGATTTGATGAAATAAGGTATTTTGTTAGTTAACTCTCATATCTTTTTCCAGATAGATCAAATCACCAATAAATAAATGTGGACAAATGCTATAAACTGGTTTTTTTTTTAAATATATACTTTTGTTAATACAAATTAATTTTACAACATATTGGGTTTCATTGGGGCATTTTCAAATAGGTACATAAATGCGTTGATCATATTTCATTGCTATTATTTAGCTTTCTTATCTCCCCATCTTTTCCCCCTTTATTTCCTTCCTCTTATACAAGAATCTAACAATCTTTCTTCTACTCTTTTTCCTTTTGTTTTGGACTTTTGGGACAGAGTCTCACTGTGTAGTTCAGGCTGGCTTTGACTTACTCCACAGCCCTCCTTGAACTTGCAGCAGTCCTCCTGCCTCAGCCTCTCGGGTGATGGACTCACAGGCCTGTGACGCCAAGCCTGGCCACTGCGTTGTGTTGATTATGCACATGCATGGATTTCATTTTGACAGACACATGCATGCTGTTTTTGCTTATATTCATCCATTATTGCCTGCCTTTCATCCTTCCTTTTCCCTCTTGTTGTCTAATAATAGTCTCCCTCTCACTGTCTCTCTTTTTAGATTCTGTGTGATGGTCAGTTTGTCTTTCTGGGTCTGGATTTTTTACTCAACTTGATGGTCTCCAGATCCATCTGCTTCTAGTGTTCCTGTTTTAATTGAAGGAGAATGTACCAATAGAAAAGTACACTTCAGTTTAAATTTACAACTAAATTAATGCCAGAAAACAAAGACTTTTGTGACATTATCCAAATCAAGAATAAAATGTATTTGCTACCCAGTAATTTCCTCTTGTTCCTTCTCCTTCTAGCCTTTATCCCCTTTTTTCCCCACAAAGTATTATGATGATTTAATTTTAAAAGTTTTTTGCAGTTCTAGCAATTGAACCTTGGGGCTCATGCATGCTAGACAGGTTCTTTCCCACTGAGCTACAGCCCCACGTACAATGATAGTTTTCTCCCTCTGTGGTACTGGAGTTTGAACCGGGCTTTCTGTGTTTCAGGTAAACACTCTACTGCTTCAGATTTTGAGACAGAATCTTGCTAAATTGCAGGCTGGCCTCAAGCTTGTTATTCTCCTTCCTTCCCTCTCGGGAAGATAGAATTATAGGTGTGTGCTACCATGCCTGCCTTATGATGATTTTTAATGTCGTATTTTAGTTTTGTCTGATTCAGAACTTATAAAAATAGAATTGTACAGTAAGTTCTTTGGGGGACTAGCTTCTTTTATTTCATCTATTTGTGTAGCTATGATTAGTTTATGATCATTGAGGTATTATATTCATTCCACTATATGAATATGTCATAAATTAACTATTTCAGTATTTTAATCATTGGGTTGTTCTCAGTCTTGGATATTATAAAGAAAAGTACTTTGATTATTCTTTTTTTTTTTTTTTGTCTTTTTTTGAGATGGGGTCTTGCTATGCAGTTCAGGCTGGCCTTGAGCTCACTTTGTAGCTCAGGCTGGTCTCGAACTCGCAATGATCCTCCCGCCTCAGCCTCCCGAGTGCTGGGATTACAGGCGTGAGCCACCACGCCCGGCCAATTATTCTTAAATATGTCTCTTGGTATTTATATCTATGTACATGTTGTTTTGTAGGCCATGTTCCCAACAGTTTAATTGCTGGGGAAGTCATAGTACATGTTTGTTTAATGGTAATATATAAAACGTTCTTTTCAAAGTAGTTTTATTATTGTGTATTCCTACCAACAGTGTTTAAGGGCACTGGTTACCCATACTTCCAGTACTTGTTATTGTTACTTTTTAAAATTTGGCGTAAAGGCTGTTGTGATTTTAATTTATATTTTCTGGAAACTCAGTATACTGTTTGAGTACTTCATCTATTTATAGGCCATTTAGATATCTTTTGTGAAAGACCAGTTCAATTCTGTTGCCATCCCTTCTCTCTCTGTCTGTCTCTCTCTGTCTCTTTCTGAGACAGAGTCTTGCTCTGTAGTTTAGGCTGGCCTTGAACTCACTTTGTAGGCCAGACACTAGTCTCTTTAAACTGGTGGCAGTCCTCCTACTTGGCCTTCCGAGTGCAAAGATTTCAGGTTTGTACCACCGTGCCTGGCTCATTCTGTACCTCTTGAATCTTTCATTTTCTCTGTCTTCCTTCCTTTCTCTTTCTCATTTTTCTCCCCTCTTCTTCCTTCTTTCCCTTCCCTCCCTTCTCTTCCTTCTTCTTTCTTGCTGTACTGAGATGAAACCCCAAGCTTCATGCATAATAGGCAAATGTTCTCC